TAAACATTATTCTAACATCAATTTCATCTTCCTCTATACTTAGGAATTTCATGTAGCATACCCTCTAAGGGTTTCAAGCTCCCAAAAACCATTAAAACCCATAACGAAGCTCAACAATAACAAGGGTAGTGAAAACTACATCAAAAACCATGAACATACCTTGTTTTAGAGCTTGATCTTGCATGGAGTCACTTGGTGTTTCTCTTCTCCTTCCTCTTTCTCTCCCTAAAATTCATTTTACAAGAATTTTCCCATGGTTTTCATTAGCTTAGATGAAAATGAGGGGAGGGGAAGGGTATTTATAGACTTTATGAACAAATTCTAACCATTGATCTTGAAATTGTAAGATTAAATCTTAGTCATTCATTTTGTCTCCTTGTCTTATGATGACATGTGTCCTCATGACATCGTGCTTACATCATCTTGCGTACCTTATGCTTACATCATTAAGCCACATGTCCTTAATCTAACCGTACATGAACCGTACACGTGTCATTCATCTAACCATACACGTGTTGTTCATCCAACTGTATGCATCTCTCTTGTATGTCCCTTCACTGTTATGACATTAGAATAGGGAGGAAATTAATATAAAATTTGTGAAAAATACAGCCTCTAGGTATTCTTCCACCTATCTTGCCATTTTGTATCGCATCGGGTACTTATTCGAGTCCTGACTTACTCGGGACCATTGGAACATGTTCTGGCATCATTTTCTCATCCAAAATAAGTCTGCATATGGCACCATCTTATAGAAGCATAGAAGAAAATAATTAGCTCTACTGAGAGACTACTTGGCTTCACTAAGTCACGCAGTAGAAATTTTGCTATATTAGGTAGACAGAAGACTATCTAAAACATACCCATCTTGCATTCTGATTTTTCTACTATGTATAATTATCTCTTGGTGACTCATTAGATAACTCAGCAGTGTCATAATTGCACCTTAGTGAATCAGCACGCTGACTCAACACCTTCATAATTGCCTTTAGATATTTTCTTTAATCTTGTCTCTTATTTAGGGGACACAAATTATTTAATATTTGACTAGAGCATTTTATTCAATCCAGAGTTCCAAAAATTCATTCATTCATACCATAAGATTCCTTTGATTTTGAAAAAAAATCTATTAATTTTTTCGGGCCATAACTCAATTCGTAAATATTTCTTTTTGAATTTCCTACAAAACGCCCTTTTTTGGCATAACTGGACTTTAAATATTCTTAAATCCATTTTCTGGCCTTCTAGGGATGATACTAATTTTATAATTTTCTACAATCTCTTAACTCATGAATCCCTATGTTTTCTTACATTTCTGAGTCGTCCTTATGGGTCAAATAATTGAATCTAATTTTATATCTCAAAATGAGTTATAATCTTTAAAATTCATTTAAAGTCAACCCAAGGAAATTTTTGTTATTTTTCTTCACATACAGGCCTTAACATGTCATTTCCCTTTTTTTTTTGGGATTTTTTTGGAATTTGTAGGTATAATTTTCATTGTTGCTCTCAACGGCCCGAAACTTTACAAAATTACGATTTTACCCATGGTTTGGCTTAACCCCATACTTCACCTCATTGAGGTTTCTAATATAACCTTTGGCTTACATTCATTTCTATTTCTCATTCCTGGGCCTCAAGACTTCACCCCAGTCTCTAACTTCCTCTTTTCTTAGTCCTTGAAAACTTTCCTTTTTCGATTTAATCCTTGGAAATCTTTTTATCCCTTCAGGGAACCTCTGTGACTTCTACCAAAAGGGGTCTAGTAGTCTATCCATTTCAGACTAATTCTGATACTTCTATGCCTAAAATTTGAGATGTTACAGAATCCAGAGGACTACACTTATATAGATATTTGTACTGCCTCTGTGCTTTTTGCATGTGATGATGGATTGTATATTGTCACCTAGGGTTCCTTTTCTTTTGCATATTGTCTATTGATTAGAGAGTTGTTTACTTGTATTTTGATTACCGGATTGTGGTTGAGTGCTGGCAGTAGGTCGAAAGCCTTAGGGTGATGCATACAACTTTTGTGGATCCACCTTGATTGTTTATGATACATGATGTGTAGTATTCAGTATTCCATTGATGTTGGTAGGCTTGGTGTTGTTTTTAGTTCTAAGCTTAACACTAGGAGGCTACTTGATAATCGTGTTGATCAGGGCCCTGTTTCCCTATAGCCATGTTAGTGGGTTTGATTCCTCTCTAACGTGGTTACGCTTGTTCTAATTATTCGAAATCCTTTTATTCAAGAATGCTTTTGAAAGATGAGTTAAAACCTTTCTACTATAGTAGCCTTATATAACCATTTTCTTTTTCTACCATAGCAAAGTCTTAAACGACTTTGAAGTGAGCAAATTTTCAGTTTTAGAAAGGAACTTTACACCATAGGTCAGGCTCAGATCGACTACTACAAAATTGGCCGGACCTATTTACACCTGTAGTGTCAATTAAGGCCAAGATATCTTCTAGTTGAAAAATTAGTCAATTGTAAGCAAAACCTCTTGTTATCTCTGAAATTTTAGGTGCTTTCATAGGTCTAGAATTATGAAGGACAAAAAGGACATATGATTGGTGTAAGTGTGTATAACTAGACATCTTTGCATAGAAGTCAATGTTGAGTCTAATTATTTTGTAGGGGTGTTCATCAAGCCCGCTAGCCCGGTATGCCCGCCCGAGCCCGCAAGAAAATGGCCCTGCCCAGCCCGGAAAAAAAAAAGCCCAAAGAAAAATGGGCATTTTTGGGCTGGGCATATTATGGGCAGGGCAGGGCTGCGGGCATGGTATGCTGCCCTGCCCATTTGGCCCTGCCCGTGATATATATATATTTATAATTCTTTTTTTTTGCCAAAAATACTTATAATGATATATAATAATATATATTATTCTCTCCTTTTTCATTTGCCATAGATACATTTAGTGGTATGCGTAATTCTTCCTTCTTAGTATCTTTTTAATTTTTTTTAATTTGGTTTAGTATCTTTTAGTTTGTTTTTATTGTTGGTTGTCTTGCAAAGATGCAAAAGCAAGCTCACTTTAGTGTTATATTAAAAGATATATCAATTTAAAACAAAGCAAAGTTATTAATTTGTTGAATTTATTCTTTATTCAAGTATTTATTTCTTTATAGTTATTATAAGATACCTTTACTTTAACTAAAATTTTTTTTACCAAGGTATCACTATTTGGGCTTGAAAGCCCGCCCTGCCCAGCCCGTTATTGCCCAGCCCGAAAATGGTTAGGGCTTTTGTGGGCAGGGCAGGGCAGCGGGCCGCAAAATGCAGCCCGCTCATTTTTCGGGCTGGGCATCGGGCAGGGGACATGCCCTGCCCAGCCCAGCCCATGAACACCCCTATTATTTTGTATATAGAGACACAAAAGGGGAACTGATTTTTGGGGGGGGGGGTTTGGCTAGATTAAATCATTTGCAAGACTTTGATTACCGTAATTTTGATTAGGCAGATGTTACTAATACGTAAGCTTTGTTGTTTATTATATTCTTTGAGTACATTGTTATATACACACAAAACTCTATTTTTTTGAAGTTATAAAATATAATGTGTGAGTACCTGAGAACTATTTAATTTTGTTAAGTTCAAAATCAATCGGATTAGAAAAATAATGCCTTAGTGCAAGTGACGGTTTGATGGTTGAATAACTAGATTAATGTTCAACACAAATCCTACTCTCAAATTAAAATAATACAACCTCTTATCCTTAATATAATATCTAGATAACTAATTTGTGAATGTTAATAAAATTAGTTAAGTTAGTTATTTATAATAAATATGTGTTGGCTTCCTTAAAATATCTTTGTTAATCATGTGCATTAGAATGAAAAGATTTTTAAAAAATTGAAGAAATATGAGAGACAATATGTGGATTGGGTTCTTATATATTTATGACCAAATTGAATTTTCAATTAGTTCTTGTATTTAGAACTGGAGGTAGTATTATGCAACTTTGATTCTTAATATAACATCTTCTTAATATAATTTGAGTACATTAAGAAAAATAATTACATTATTTATTTGTCAAAAATATGTCTTGATTTTTCTAAAATACCCTTTTAAACCATTTGTATTGAAATTAACCTTTAATGCAAATTCTTTTAATATATGAAATCAATAGGTATAATTTAGAAAGAAACTGATAAATATAAAAGAATAAATAGTTTGAAACCTTATATTTATAACTAAACTCAATATACAACTCAATCTTATATTAAAAATTAAAAACAATATTACCAGGATTAAAATAATGGTGCCTCGATGTATATATATTTTTGGAAACAAGTTGGTGAAAACAAAGGATTTTCTGAAAATTACCATAAATTAATTTTATGTTAATGCATATATATTCTTATATTAATTAGAGACTTATTACACATCAAATGTAAATACTTCTCTTCAAAATTTAAATATATTTTTTATGTATGATAGAAATTTAGTGCCAGTGACAACATGACACGTGGGGGTCCATTTTAAGATGAAGGACGACGTTCTGATACTTCTCAGTTCTCACGAGACGCTGAAGAATGACTCAGATTACTTACACGAGGAAAAACGAAAATATCACTGATAATAATGCTCTTGACAGCTGTACTTACGCGCCAACCCGCAATTGCGAAAATTCAACATTCACACACGGGATCGTGCGAAGCACGCGCTCCAGTGAGACTGGGCAAAAGATTTCTTGCCAAAAATACCTTAACATAGACCGTCATGGGAAAAGGAATGTTGTATGAAACTGGAAAGAACACCAACCCGAACCTCCATCCCATTTTCTTTTCTTGTGGCGATTGCAGGACCACCAGAAGATAAATCAGAAGACTATAGAAAAGAGAAAGAGTAATCAATCTCTCTCTCTAACTCTCTTTTTCCCTCTTGTTCTTTCTGCTTTTTGGCCCTTCTCTCCAGGGCTTTCAAAGTTGCCAACTTTCTCACCATTTCACAAATTTGGTTCCATTTGGTTACTAACCCAGAAAAGAAGAACCAGCTGGTTACCCCCGTTGGAAGAGATCAGTGAGGAAGAAGAAGAAGAAAGCAGAGAGAGAAAGTGAAGGAAGAAAAGAGATTGTACAGAAATAGAAAAGATAATAATAATAATAAGGCGATATGGGGAGGGGAAGAGTGGAGCTGAAGAGGATAGAGAACAAGATAAACAGGCAAGTCACATTCGCTAAGAGAAGAAATGGCCTTCTCAAGAAAGCCTATGAGCTTTCTGTTCTCTGTGATGCAGAAGTTGCCCTCATCGTCTTCTCCAACCGTGGCAAGCTTTATGAGTTCTGTAGCACCTCTAGGTTCGTACCTCCCTCAATTTCCTCATTCTATTTTTATTTCTCTTTTCTTTTGTTGTCATATTTTTTTGTTGATCTATCAGATCTATCGCCTTCTCTCTCTTTCTGGTACTATTTCCCTTGTTTTCTGGCTTCTGCTGGTGCTTCAGTCATATTCATCACGTGCTCAAGTGAAGTAACTTATTTAGTTTTAGATTTGATTTGATCTCATGTAACTTCTCTTCGTTTCTGTTATATCTATGAGATCTGTTAATATGTAGTACATGATCTGATCAATATCTCGTCCTTTGATAACTGGTTCGTACTTTGTCTAGATGATTGACAGGATTTTTCTCTGGATTTCTCTCTCATTCTCATTTAATTTTTTCTTTTCCTCTTTTGTGTTTTGTTTCTAATTTTATTATTCCTTCTGTCCTAAACATAAAACTTATTTTACAGTATAATTTATATTATAAAATAAGTCTTATATTTAGGATGATATTACTTTTGTGTGATGTCCTTGTTCTTGTGTTTATTTATTTTATGCCTAAAAACTCATCAGTTGGTTTTTCTGTTAACTTTCTTGCTCAACTATGTATCACTATAATTCAGTTTGTGTTTGGAACCATAATAAATACTACCTCCAGTCCTAATTATAAGAGCTAATTGACTAATTTGAGGAAATTAAAGAAGTAAGTTGAGTTAGCTATTTGTCCTAAATAGGTGTTGTCTTTCCTAAACTATCCTTGCTAATTAAGTGTATTGACTAGAACTCTTATTATTAGAAGGGCTACTTTGACAAAAAATATACGAATATGAAAGACAAAATGGATTGGGATCTTATATTTAGGACCAAAATAAAAATCAAACAGGGTCTTATATTAAGGACCAAAAGTAGTAAATTAGAAAATCTGTATATTTTAACTTTCAGAGAAAAGAAGTATAAGTGATATGTAAACTCATGTGAAATTTAGCATTTTGCATTGACAAAAATGTACACATAATTTATACATTTATAGAGAACTAGAGTGCATTGTCCGTGATTCCATGCATACGCACATAATTATTTAAAAGTTTTGTGGAATGTACTTGAGAGAAAAAACTAAAATAATAGCATAAAAAAGATAATGACAATGGTAATACGCATGAATAAAACAAAAATATAGTAAAAATGCAACGTAAATGAATATATTTTTTAAATAATGAAATTTGATTTAAAGTAGTGTGTTTGTGTGTGTGTCCGTTTTTTGTCCCGGGGTGGGGGAAGGCCACGATATATTATGTGGTACATGTGGACATGGTTAATAAAACACTTGATGTAATATGATATGGTATTGTTCCTGTTCTAAATGTAAAACCTATTTTGTAGTATAATTTGCATCACAAAATAGGTATTATATTTAGTCTTATATTTAAGACTGGAAGAGTATATATTAATCTACTATTCCTGAAACACGTTGTACCGTACTTTTTCATATTTTAATTACTTTGTTTTTTGACATAAAAAAGGGGGAAATCTCAATATATATATATATATATATATATATCTTTCAGATTTCAAAATCTCAAATTAGAAATAACTATAAAAATGTGTTGTCATTTGCTTTTCGTTATTGGAGTATAGTAACCAAGATTGATTTGAAATTTTAAAATTTAAAGATATTTTTTTTTTTGGGGAATCTCCCTAAAAACGGAGAAATAATTTGTTTAGCCCTGCTCGTTTCACTAAAGATGTAAAAGAAAATGAAAAACTATCTGTTTATTAGATTTTAAACATATTAAATGAAGATATTGTTGCTTTGTATTTATTATTTTGAGCGACAAAAACACAAACATCATTAATCTCATTAATAGAGATCTTTGGCTTCTTTTTTTTTCCCTTGGTCTAACTCTCATTGTCTTAGGGAATTAGTTTCAATACTCATCATAGTGATGAGCATCATGATACTTATCAAATTTTAATCATTCAAATTTAATATAGACGGATGAGATTTAATATTTAATGTTTTTGTTTTCTAAAAAATGGTTTCCTTTTAACTGGTACATGATCCAAAATAAATATGATCTCTTAATTGCAAGTTTTTTTTTAAAAAAATAAACGTTTTATTTAAAAATCACTAGTTAAAAATTTTATATCTAGACTGTTAAAATTGATTTTGAATACTTTCCTGTTAAATCTGAAAAATGCTTTCCTTTTAGCTAGAGCCAGAAAAGGAGAAAAAGAAGAAGAAGAAAGAAACAGAGGCCTTGTTTGGTTTCTTATTTTAAAAGCAGTTTTTAATTTTTAAAAACAAAAAAAAATAAAAAACTTTGTTTGGTAATTTATTTTTAAAAACAAAAATCTGTTTTTAAAAACTAAAAAACCAAAACAATTTTTAGTTGTTTTCTTGTTTTTTTTAAAATATTTCTCATTTTTTGTTTGAGAAAATTGAGACACCCTTTCTTTTTTACTTGGTGACTTTTTCTTCATTTGAGAACTCGAGTTCTAATTGAAATTTCACCCTCTAGTCTCTGTATGTTTATTTTCAAATATAATTTTTTAAAACAATTATCGAAACAGATATTTTTTATTTTTTGTTTTTGAAACTTGTTTTACAAAACAATTTTATAAAATCGTTTTGAGGAAAAAAAAACACAAAATAAATTCAAACATGCCCAGAGTTACCGTGTTACCTGGTTTTTTTAGTTAGATTAAGTTTCAAATCTCATTTGTATTGGTAACAAGCAGTACTAGACCTTAAGAGAGTAGTGAAAGGAGTTCTTCAAACAGAGTTGTAAATCGTAATGAAGGATATTCTATGTATTTCACAAGGTTTCGACACACAAACAGAATATTTGTTACATGATAACATGGAGAAGAGAGTTAAGTTATATTTAAAAAAAGACTTTAATTGAACAAAATTGAATGCTAACCAATCATATTCCTTAATTTTTAAATTTAACAGAATTTAATATCACACAATTCAAATTACAATAGAGCACACATCTACCAGCCCAAAAATCCCAAGCACGCTGATTTAACACAAGGATGAGGAGGACATTTTGGTCACTTAATGTCTACTCCTCTAGTCCTATTATATGACAAAGAGAGAAGAAAATTTTTTATTCTATTTATAGGACAAGGAGAGAAAATTTTCACATGAATATATAATTTTACCTTTCATTCATTATTGTGTTAGTTTTGTTCTCATATGATATATTGTATATTAAATAGGGATAAAATTAAGAAATTGTTGAATTTTAAATGAGAATTAATGAAGTTTAAAGTTTTTATTAGTTTGTATGAAACATGTTGAAAGTGACTTATAAATAAGATCAGAAGAGTTTATTATTTTGGTACTGCATTATGGTTGTACCACTACTAAGTAATTCACCATCATCAATATATTATTTGATGTGTTTTCTTTTATGTGTCTGAAATATATCAGCATGCTCAAAACACTTGAAAGATACCAAAAGTGCAGTTATGGCTCTGTGGAAGTGAGCAAACCAGCCAAGGAGCTTGAGGTCTCTTACTTACATTTCTTAGTTCTTGCTCTGTCTCTTGTAATATTGATCACTTTCGGTCAATACAATTTAATTTTGAAAAGCTTTATCATGTTTTTAGTTACCTCAATTGTAAAATTCTTATCACTGCTATAACTTTTTGCAGATTAATTTACGTCTTCCTAAGAAATGTATTATCATACCAACTTTTGCTTTGTTAGTAAACTTTCATCTTCTTGCTCATAACAGACCAGTTACCGCGAGTACTTGAAGCTGAAAGCAAGACTGGAATCTCTCCAGAGGACCCAAAGGTGATAATTATATCATAATATTTTAAGCTCTTCATCGTTAAGATACAACTCAATAAATCAGAACAGCCTGGTTTCGTCTTTTCTGCTTCCATTTTTAACAGTAAATTTGGCTAGTATGCAGCTTTTTCTATATTTTCGGATGTAATAACTTCTTACATACATCAAATTTATAAGAAAATGTATAATTTTCAAACTATAAACATTATGGCTTGATTCCTTAGGCTTATTTACTCTATTCAAATTTTTCATGCTTTTTAAAGGAGTTGGGGTTCTCTCTACTAGAAGTTTGACTTTATTTCTAAATAATTAACACTTCAGATTTCCCCCAAAAAAAAAAGAAGCAAGTGTTGTATTAACAATTTTACCTTTCAACAAGCGCTTATCAATGAAAAAGAAGTATTTCTAATAAGAATACTTTAGTTAAATATCATTAAATTTTGTCAAAATTTAGACTGTTTAATAGCTTTTTTAATCTGTGTGCACAGCTAGAAGGTGACAATTGTTTTGAAATGAAGAAAGTTATTTAATAGCTGATGAATGTTAAAGCCATGCCATTGTTCTTTTTGGGGTGTCATTGTAGAAACCTTCTAGGAGAAGACTTGGGTCCATTGAACTCAAAGGAACTAGAGCAGCTTGAGCGCCAGCTTGATTCATCTCTAAAGCAAGTGAGGTCCATCAAGGTAATGAATTTGTACGTCCTCATGTGAAATGTAAATTTTCCGGCTAGCCTCAAGGTTAGTGTAGTTTTCTCCATTAAATTTCTCATCACTTTGTGACATACTTTTTACATTTTGATTTTGTGTGATTGTAAGGCTTGTGACTGTTCTCAAAATAAAGGAAGTTTAGTGAATTTTATATCCTTGATTTGGCTACAAGAAAATCCACCTAAGATTGAAATCATAATTTGTTCTGTCTTTATCTTTCAACTTTCCAATATAAGCTTAAAATGGTTCCTGACAAATATCTGGAATATTACTTTGCAGACCCAATTCATGCTGGACCAGCTGAGCGATCTTCAAAATAAGGTAAATTGTTTGGCACAATAGAACTATATATATTATTTTCTGTGTCTAATACTTGCAAGCTCGCGATTCTAATACAGGAACAGATTCTGGTTGATGCAAACAGAGCTTTGACTATGAAGGTAACTTTTTAACAAGTTCATTAATTGCATGTCGTACGATCAAAGGTTGGTTTTGGTTTTCTTAATGTTAACTCGGACAATTAATTCCTCTGTAACATTCTCCAAAGTGCAAAGCCACCTCTAGTAATGTATTTGAAAATGGTCTACTTTGTGTTGTTTCTAGAGAAGTACAATAACAAAAACTTTATACAACTAATTATCTGTGATGTCTCTGAAACCCTACAGCGATTTCTAGGCTTCTTTTAGTAACTTACATGCTCTTTTTCGTATTCTTCTAGGATCCTTGTGTTGGAAACGTTACAATTCAGAATTCATGTATCAGCTAAGAATTTAATCCATCTTTTTGCTTTAGAGGTGTTTGGATTAGCCTTTCGAAAACATTTTCATATAAGTCAAAACAAAACTCTTCCACATACTTCACTTATATGTTGTAAAACTACTTCCAAAAAGCTAATCTGAACACCTTCAAACATTTTTATTCACTTTCTTGTATCAGTTTCATTTCTTGAAGTCCAACACCGTCTTTTGTAATGATTTTTACCCTCTGTAATAGAAATACCAATAAATATGCGTTTCATGTGTCTCTTGAAACCCTGAAACTTGCCTTGGCACCAAGCTCCTCTGCATCTGCTTACATTATTGTTGGTTAATTACATTACTGTTGTGAGCAGCTTGAAGAAATCACTTCAAGAAACAACTACAGGCAATCTTGGGAAGGTGGTGATCAAAGCATGCAATATGATTCCCAGAATGCAAACTCTCAGGGCTTCTTCCAGCCTTTGGACTGCAATCCCACATTACAGATTGGGTATATAATATCTCATACATACTTCCTGCATATTCTTACTGATATTTCAAGAACACAATCATAAACTGTATACTTGTAGATTTCCTATGTTAGCCTAACATAAATCACAATTATTTTATTAAATCCTTGATTTAATAATAAACCTTTTGGGCCTAAACTATGGTATCCTTATTTCTTTAAGTTGCATCATTTAGGATAAACAAACGTGATATTTATTGAGCTTCCTGTAAGCTAACCAGTAATGGGTGAGTCAGCCTATCAAGTTACACAAGAAAAAACTTCTTACCAATTTGGTCTTTTGATAGAGCTCAATGGCCACCCAACATAGTGAGATAAGACTTTGTTGTTGTTATTAATATTATTATATGTCATATCTCATTTGAAAAATTAAAAAATGCTTATCTCACTTACTTGGTACTTTCAATCAAGTATCTCAAGAAAAAACAATTATTTCTTTTTCCTTTTTTTTTCGTTTTTTGTAAATGGCATAAGGGGAAAAATGAAAAAAAAAAAATTAAAAGAAAACAAAAGAAAAGAGGTGAATAAATGTGGCTCACCACCTTTCATAGGCGGGCTCGGATTGACTGAAAGCCAATTGCGAGTTGGCTCCTATTACCACTCATGCAAATGATAGACAATATATGTGTATAAGTTGATGAGCGTGAATTTGATTACAGGTACAATGCTGAGGGTTCAGATCAGATAGCAGCAACAACACAAGGTCATCAAGCGAATGGGTTTATTCCAGGATGGATGCTTTGAGTGATGATGCCTATGTAAGCAATTTTGCTGGCAATGTGCAAATGATGCTTCATCATCATATTCTCTATATAAGTTTATTACTATGTAATAAATCAGCACTTTACTGATGAATTCAATATATACAGCTTTGAAAACCTTGAGCCTCTTATAAATGGCTTGTACTATGTCCGTCTATAGTATCCTTCCAGCAGGACCATCTCTTTTATCAGGTAGGCCATTTAACATTTCGTGATGTTCTGAATTTGGGTGCATTAAGGCTATGTTTATTGTAGATATTAGGGATTAGGTGCTTAAATACCCTGGAAATATCCATAAAGGAGCACCTAACAGCTGGAAGTTTTTTTTCTGGCTCTCATATGCCCTGGAAGTTTTATTTCATAACATTTATATCTTGAATCGTTATCTGCTGTTAAGTTTGATCATTAAAAACATCAATCAAACTGTATAATTTAACAGTTAAACTTAACTATGAATAATAGCTAAGGTAATTTTGCTACGAAAATAAATTTTCAAGACATATAAGAGCAAAAAAATTTCGGATACTGGGTGCTCCTTTGTGGATACTTTTGAAATATTTAAACATCTTATCTCTAGACTAGGGTCCTGTTTGGATGACACTGGAAACCATGGTTTGGAAGGCCAAACCATGGTTTGCACAAAATGTCATCCAAACAGGCAGACATTTTGCATAAACCGTGGTCTTGCTTGAAACCATGGTTTCCACTGATGAAACCATGGTTTCATCATAAGCAAGAAATTCTCGCTTCTGGCTGAATAACTGAAGGCAACCGCATTTGACCCAAAAATACCCTTGAAATCTGTTGGCCGACACCCAATAATTGAAGGCAACGGACTACTCTGCTCGTGCATTCTCTCCGCTTTGCTGTGCTCGCGATTCTCTCCACTGTGCTCTACTCGCGTCGCGATCACTCTTCTGCTCGCTTCGCTTTGCTCGCAATTTCCGCTATCTTCGCTCTTCGCTCTGCTCGGGCATTCACTCTCAAGAAGCTCACCTTCTCTGCTCGCCGCTTCGCTCTTCAGGTATGAAATTCTTCCCGTCGAAGTATGTGCTTCTGTCAAATATTCTTTGTGAAACCCCACTTGTCGCACGTTCTTTTCTTTTGAGTTTCTTGTAGCCCACTCCTTCTGGTTCACTGGTTCATCGAGCTCGTGCCGTCGCTGGTTCTGTGGTCGTGCTGAGAAGAAGAAGGGATGAAGACGATGGTGATGAAGGGAGGTTCCCCCTCTACCGTCGCGCAGCGTCTCCGTCTTGTGTTTATGCTTCGGTCCCCTGTTTTTCCCAGCCACCGTCCCCCGTGTGTGTGTGTTTCGTTCTCTGCTCGTTCGGCATGTTCTCCCTTAGCCTGCTCCGCCTCGTGTTTAGCTTCTCCGCCAAGATGAAGAAGAAGATTGAATATAGTATATTAGGTTGGGGGTGGTGCGCACCGTTTTGCTCCCTTTTCTTTTAATTAATTAATTAATTACTCTAAATATATATATTTCACATTTAAAATCTTTAAAGAAAATTAATTAATTATCTGTTAGCCAAAAAAAAATTCATTTTTCTATAAACATATTTAATATTATGTTTTATAAATATATATACACATATTAATTATATATTAATTATATTATGTTATATATTATTAATTATGTTACTAAAAATTTTTTCATTAACAATTTTATTTTCTCAAATCAAAATATATCATAAAATCTATTCCTTACATAATTATCATATTAACTTATACCCTTTTTGGTAATTTTGACATGTAAAAAGTGCTTCTGGTAATAACTATCCAAACACTCTCACTTCTCATAATCACTTTTTCTCAGAATCTATTCTCCAGAATCACTTTTTCAAACCATGGTTTGGTTTCATCCAAACACACCCTAGATATTACCCTTGTCCCCCCTTTAGACTAATTTTAAGGAAAAGTACGTTTTTTTATGCAGTTCTCATTTAGTGCTTATCACTGCTCATTGCTATAATGAAATTTGAACCATTTAAAATATGGTCTGGATAGTTTAAATTTAAAATTTAAAATTTAACATTTTTTAATAATAAATTTATTTTTAGAAAAATGACAAATAAAGACCCCAATATGTGCAATTGCGATTTGGGACCCTCAATTTGAAAAATGACAAATAAAGACCCAGTCCCATATTGCAAATATGAAGTTTTGATGAAATGTTTGAAATGCTCCTTAGCCAAGTAACAAGTTGACTATGGAAAATGACAAGTTCACTTCAGCAAATGACAATTTCAGTAGACCAAATCACAACTTGACTAAGGGTATGCCAAATGATAAGTTGACTATGGGAAATGACAAGTTCACTTTAGCGAATGACAACTTCGGCAAACCAAATCACAACTTGGCTGAGGGGCATTTCAGATATTCCACCAAGATTTCATATTTGCAATATGGGACTGAGTCTTTATTTGCTATTTTTCAAATTAAGGGTCCCAAATCACAATTTCACATATTGGGGATCTTTATTTGCCATTTTCCCTTTATTTTTTAAGAAGTGTTCGTTATGAAATTATATATATAATTTTATAATTAAATAAAAAATTCTTTAAACAATTTAAATTACATGTGGATCATCCAAAATCAATTTACATTATCAAAACTAAGATGAGCAAGATGAGCACTACATGTTTACTTCTTTGATAAGCATTGAATGTGCTTGCCTTTTTATGATCTATATCCCAAGATCTCCGTTAAAAATATCGATCACTAGATTTATTCCGGTTAGAGGACAGATTCAAGAGTAGATTTATTCTGTTAAAAAGGAATGTTTGGGTAGACACTAAAAACTAAACCGTGATTGTATATGAAATAAATATGTGAGATAAGTTTTATCTTAATTTGCATGATAGTACTTTTTTAAAAGTACTTTTTGATTATACCAAACACCCTGTTGCGTTCCGAACCCACCACAGCCATTACGAATGGGATGTCATGTCTTTCAGTTTAATCCGTTGGTTTGACATACTACGTTGAATTACATTTTTCCTCTTAAATAGTGTTTGGTTGGGTTCTTTTTTTAAAAAAAAAAGGAAGAAAGGAGAGAGAAGGAAAAAGGAAAAAGCAAGGTTGTTTGGTTTAGAAAAAGAGTGGGAAGGGGAAGGAAATTTTTATCTTTTTGTTGCTTCCCTACCCTCCACCCTCATCCCTCCTCCTTTGGGGTTTGTTTTGGAAGGGAGAGAAATAATGTATCACAGTTTGGCTAAATTGTCCCATCATTATTTCAAAGAAAAATTACAATAAGCTCCTACCCAAAAGAATTAAATACAAAAAATTCATTGAAATTATCAAATTATTTTGAAGTCTCAAAAGGACCTCATTGCAAGAAAATTCATTTGTTTATACCAAATTGCCCTTATTTTTTTTAAATGTGTATTGAAAACTAAAGGAGTAGTCGTTGACAACTTAAGATGTAAGGATTAACAACTATCACGACAGATATTAACAATTCATGCATTATATTTTGTGATGAGCTAAGAAAATGTGTTGTGTCACATCCCACCAAATTTGACCACGGGAATGTAAATAATAAATTAGATAGAGGGTCAAATAGTAAAGTAGACTTAGAGGTGAAACAACTTGGGAGTTAAGATTCGACTTTTGTCCGAACTGATATTTTTGAAATTATCAATTCAGGAAGGGCAAAATAAGAAATTTGGAGAAAATTTTCAGAAAATTCTCAAAAAATGGTAAAAAGATAAATTAAAGGTTTTGGAACTCCATTTGAGACCCTAAAAGTGGAAATGGCATGAAAATACATTATTACAAAATTTTCTATAAATTGAGGTTTTTGGAGAAAAACAGTAAAAAAACTAGTATGAAACAATTATTTTAAATATGTAGAGGCTTCAATAATTCTAGAAAAAATATGAAAAAAATCATTTAAGGATTTATTTGAGTTTATAAAAATTTTTCCAAGCCCTGTAGGTGAAAAGATTAATTTTAGAATATTTATTACCGAAATCTTATTGGTAAAGACTAATTTCGGAGAAAATTCAAAGTAAATAGTTAGAGGTTGAGATAAATTCTGAAAATTTCAGGAGACCTTCCTATATTAAAATATGATTTATTTATGGGAAGAAATTAATTTTTGGAGGTCCAGAAATTTTTTTTTGAAAATTAGAAAAGAATTTTAGCCTATACGAAAAAATCGGATAGAAAAATGTTTGGAGATGCAAAGTGATACTTATTCCTTCTTTCTCCAGCCCATTGGACTTGATTTTGGGCTAGAAATGAACATTAATTCGTGGCCAAGTGTTGCACATAACTATGGTAAAAAATAATACAAAATATCACATAATTTTATCTTAAAATTATTACCTAAGGAGCACTTGTACACCTCCAGACTTTTGCAGCATTTTGAGGTGTCCACCTACCCCAAATTATCCAGATTTTTTGGGCACACTTGGAGGCAAGATAGGACCAAAATTTTGCTTATATATACTCCTCCCACAAGCCTTCAATTTCGTTTTTTTAGACACTCAAAAGGGGGAGATTTTGCTGCTGAAAAAGCTGGGATTTGGGAGCCAAGAACATGCAAAAATATAGCAAAAATTATCAAGCAAGAATCAAGGATTAATCAAGGCATTGTCCAAGAGAACAAGAAGGAACCCAAAGGAATCAAAGAGGCTGAAGTTGTGGATTAAAAAGAGGTAATATGGAATTTATAATTTTTAATGTTAACTTGCTTGGTTGTACAAAATATGATTACTTGAATATATGCTATATTGTATTTGAGATTATTTGATGAAAATGATCATGTTAGTTGATTGCATTGTATATCTTGAAAACATGTATTAACATGTTATTTATGAGTGGATTGTGATGATACTTGCATGGCATAGAATGTTCATAAATCTATTTGTAATCTACCTTGCATGTTTGACATTATTATTGTAATTCCTTGCTATTGAGATTTCTATGAAATCTCATTCCTCTCTATGTACAAACAACTATTAGGAACCTCAAATGGTGTAGCAAAGGGCAAGGAAATGGTATTCCCATGAAGGAAATATGTTATGGAATTGTATTGAATGTATATTGAACATTATGTACAACCTTTGTAACATTTATGACTATGTGTTGGTTGACTATCAAGGGTTGTAATTTATGAAGGATGACTTATTATATGTTGTATTATGTGGCTGGATTATGTTAGAATGGTTATATGAATTGAAAAGAGGAGAAAAAGGCAAGAATTTCATAAAGAGGAGATAAAAGTTGACTTTTTAAGGGTCAAGTTTGACCAACAAAATTTTATGCAATTGGATGATTTTTGAGCTGAAACTTGGCAAGAAGATAAATCATATTTTTAGCTTTAAAACAAGTGGTGATTCATTAAATTTGTATTTTTGTACAAAAAGTTATGCTCTTCCAAAGTTGGGCATAAATTCTGAAAAATTGAAAAATGACTATATGAACAGTACCAGTTTGCACGAATTCTGGTTTATTTGGTGAGTTCTAATACCAGTGACTATTTTTCCTCTAAAGATGATGTTAAGAGCTTTAAGTAAAACTTAGAACCACCTCATTTCGATTTTTCTAGAATTAGTTATGAATTTTCAAAGTTTAGTCTTTGTAAGGATTAAAATAAATAGTAACCTGAATTTAAAAAATTTTAAGGTTCAAAATTTTCTAACTTAAGGCCATAAGATATGGTTCTAAATGGTTTTAATTGAGGTAAAATATGATCTAAAAGTAAGGTGTAACATGTTGTTAATACCTGCTACAATAGTTGTTAATCATTATACCTTAAGTTGTCAACGACTACTCTTTTAGTTGTCAATACATACTTAAAAAAAAGAGTAATTTGGTAATTAAATAAATAAAATGTTTTGCAATGAGGTCCTTTGAGACTTTAGAATAATTTGATAATTTTAAAAGACCTTTTTGTATTTAATTCTTTTAGATGAAATCTTGTTACGATTTTCCTTTGTTTTAATATTCCGGCTTTACCCGTCGGATTTAAAACCATTTTTCCTCTTTATTAGTCGCTTCACGCTTCGTCGGCTTCCCTCCTTCAGCCGCCAACACCCACTTTGTTGTAGACAATCATTGCCCTCATCTCGCCCTTAGTCCGGTTCGTTCTTATCGCCTCTACGGTCTTTCTCTCCAGTTCCGCTCATCGGCACACCAGAAGGCTTTCTTATGTTTTGTTCCTAGCTTTCTCATGTTTTGACATTCTTTCCTTTATTTTGCTGTGTGTTTTTTATCGGCAATTATAAGGTACCATATCTAGTCCTCAACTGTTTTAATTTCCCCTTGTTTTCTTGCAACGAAGCGGATGGATTAGATAATGAATTTGAATTTGGGAATGACAAAACTTGTTCATGTGCGATTTTGTAAATCGGCTTTTGATCAAGGGTGATTTGGGCTCCATGAGGCACCGGATGTTTCCCTAATAACCTATCTCATTACTCAGCTTGAGGCAGAAGGAAGAATTGTTATTGAATCGAAACGAGATAACCTAGAAGGGAGTTACCTGAGTGGTCTCATTTGTGTTCAATTTTTTCCTTTGCTTCACATTAATTTGTTGTATAAATCTTTTACAGTGTGACTTGTGCTCATTAGTTCATCATAATCCAGCAAATTATATGGTACAGAATTAAAGGAGAATGGATGATGGCTTACTATTTGAGGAAAAACGATGGTTCTAGCTAATTACCTGTTTTGACTTTTTTTTTTTTTTTTTGCCACAAAAGAGGCTAGATGCGTGAAAAAATTAAGAGACAATGGGATTGTATCTCATACATTCTTCTGCTAGAGCCCGTAAGCTGCTTGGGCTAACATCAAAAAACTGCGAGGATGAAATCTCTATCTTTGCTAAAACATCTGCAACTCTGTTCCTTCTTCTTGAAATGCATTCCAATTTTACAGTCCAGTCAAAACATAACAAAATTCTGAATCTAGAAGTGTAGAAGGCTGCCATCTGTTCTTTGATTCCCCTTCCTAAGCTGTTCAATTAGCATCTTTGCATCTGATTCAATAATCACCAATTTAAATCCAAAATCCCAGGCTAACTTAAGCCCTTTATAAATTGCCCATTCTTCCGCCTCTTGAGCACTACAAGTACCAAGTTCATGAGAAAATCCTGCTATCGAGTGTCCTTTTTAGTCACGCAACAGGCCACCACACCCAGCTCTCTTAGAACCCAAATCCATAGCCCCATCCATATTAACTTTTATCCAGTCCCAGGGAGGAGGAATCCAAGAGTAAGAGGGTTCAGCAGAATCAGCTACAATTAAAGCATTTGTATCACTACCACTGTTGTTGAAGGTAAAAAACTTCCAGCAATTCCTCAAATAGGAAGAAGGATCACTTGGTTCGATGAAGTCAACATTAAATAAAGCGCTATTCCTCCAATTCCATAATTTCCATACAGATATGCCCCAGAAAAAATTCCACTCGTCATTATCTACTCTCCCCATGCCTTATTTGAGATTATTAGCAATCCAGTCTCTTAAAGAAAGGGAAAAGAAGGATTGCACATACCTATGGTTGAGATGCATTAACCACATATTCTTTGCGTAGAAACAATCACGCAGGACATGTAAGATGTCCTCTGTTTCATCTTGACATTGAGCACAGGTGGGCAAACAAGAAGAACACCTAATCCTCCAAGTATTAATAGGCAGCCTGTCATTGTAAATTCGCCACAGGAAAGTTCTAATTCTGTTAGCTCCTTTCCATTTCCATATCAGTTTGAAAACTGGATCATATTTATCCATAGGGGGTGGTTCAATTAATTGATACGCACTCTTAATAGAGAATAAGCCATCATTAGAAGCATGTGTTGGATGCATGTGTTGTTATTACAGTATTTTGTGCATAAGGATATAACTTAATGGGAAAATTACGCACAGTCCCAAGTAACAGAAATTACTACTAAAAGGTCTTGCAAAATCTTCAAACAACTAGGAAGTCCTGAGGGACTTGAGGGTTAGAGATTTAAAATGTCCAATTACTATTTTTCCCTTAATCACCTGAAACAAAAACTGAATCAGAAAATGTAGGCTCTGCTCATTCGCACAATGCTCTCGATGGCTCTGACTCTCGCTTGTCACCACTCATCATCATCACTAGGCTCCTCATGGTCATTGTGGTCCCTATTTCCCATCGCACCTAGCTGTCATCGATGTGAGATAAGCTGATAGGTATATATCATAATTTTCTCAGCCAATGCGAAAGACAATATTAACGACATGTATTAACAACCCAATTAGAAGCTGTTAACAAGTTAGGCAGTGTCAGCTAACAACTGACCTTAAAGGATAATGTAACCTCCACATAAGATCAAATTATAACCAAATACTATCATGTAACAATTTTAATGCTAACATGAGAAGTTGTTGAAAGCCATTAACAACTTTGACTAAACCTAATAGAATTATAGCAGAATTTTGTTGCAGACAGCCACTAACAACCTCAACACCGCGTATTAACAACCCAATAGGAATCTGTTGATAAGTTAGGCAATGTCCACTGACAACTGACTTTATAGGATAACATAATCTCCATATAAGATCAAATTATAACCAAATAGTATCATATAACAACTTTAACGGTGAAATGAAAAGTTGTTGAAAGCCATTAACAACTTTAGCTAGACCTAATAGGATTATAGAATAATTTTGTTGCAGGCAACCATTAACAACATCAATAGTGTGTATTAACAACCCATTGAGAATCTATTAATAAGTTAGGTAGTGTCTGCTAACCACTAACTTTATAAGTGTAAAGAAAGCATGTAATACTGAAAGTAGATGAAATGATGAACTTATATCAGTAACTTAATTTAGATAGCCACTAACAACCTTCACAGCGTGTGATTTGGATGTTGAGGGTGTTAGCCGTTAGCGGACACTGCCTAACTTGTCAACAGATTCCCATTAGGTTGTTAATACACACTGTTGAGGTTGTTAATGGCTGTCTGTAACAAAATTCTACTATAATCCAATTAGGTTTAGTTAAAGTTGTTAATAACTTTCAACAGCTTTCCATTTTAGCGTTAAAGTTGTTACATGATAGTATTTGGTTATAATATGATACTATGTTGAGGTTATGTTATCCTCTACAGTTAGTTGTTAGCTGACATTGCCTAACTTATCAACAGCTTCCAATTAGATAGTTAATACACCTCGTTGATGTTGTCTTTCGCATTAGCAGAGAAAATTATGATATATACCTATTAGCTTATCTCGTACGGATGACAGTTAGGCGTGATGGGGAATAAGGACCACAACGACCACAAGGAGCCCAGTGATGATGATGAGCAATGACGAGCGAGAGTCAGAGTCACCAAGAGCGTTGTGTGAATGAGCGGAGCCTACACTTTCTGATTCAGTTTTTGTTTCAAGTGATGAAGGGAAAAATAGTAATTAGACATTTTGAATCTCCTAGTTGTTTCAAGCCCCTTAAGACTTCCTAGTTGTTTGAGGATTTTACAGGACCTTTTAGTAGTAATTTATGTTACTTGGGACCTGTGCGTAACTTTTTCTAACTTTATCTTTCTCCATTTTACGGAGGGGTGTATATGATTGGGAGAAAGGAAATTTTTTTAAAAAGACACTTAAATAATCCAAATTTTTATTTAGGTTATTAAATTTGTCAAATTCCTAATTAGGTCACATGATCCAAAAAATGATTTAAAAATTTTATGAAATGATTCTAATACCCTTTTCATTGCCTTAGAAACTAAAAGAGAAGAATTTTAAATTAACATATGTTTTATTTTACAGTTAACACATTTCAATTCTAAATTAATATTTTTTTATTTTCATAACACACTTGTGTAAGTCTTTGAATAAAAGTTTATTACAATACAACATTGAAAATAAATAAATTCAGTTACGCAATTAACAAGTTTTAGTTCTAAACTAACAACTTTATGCCTCTAAAACACAATTGCAATAAATCTTTAAATAAAACTTGGTCATAATACAACTTTGACAATTAGCATATTACATTTCATTAATTTGATATTTGGAAACAAAATTTTGGCAAAAGACCTTTCGCACTTAATGCTCATCTGGTTCTTAATGTTAGACTAACTAGTTAGGGAGATGATTTTATTCCGAAGTGTAAGACCTTAATTAACCCACTTTTTTCCTCATATTTATCATTTTTTTCAAACTAATTATCTAATTTATTAGAAACCCATATAATCTAACGTAGAGAAATCATGTCCCATTTGTTAGAATTAATAAATTATTAATTTTTAAATTGATTTAAATTAGTTAAGTAGCGCTTTTTTTTTGGGCCAAAGAAGTAGTTTTTACATTAATAATACTCATATAAAATTACATAATCACTATTTCTCTTTAAATTTTTCATGCCAAAATTTGGAAAAACAATTGCCAATTAATATGGTCATCCATAAGGTTGAAATATCTGTCGTAAGTTTTTCACACACACAGATATGTGTGTGTGTGTGTGTGTGTCAATATCAAAATTAGGAAACTCACTGTGAAATTCTTAGACCTCTATCAATATCAAAATTAGTCTCTAAATTTGAATAGTCTAAAATTTGGAAGTACTTGTTGCAAAGTTTGATGCTCGTCTTTTACAATTTACTATTGACTGGCTATATAATAACTTGCACAATCAATCAAACTCCAGCGTGAAAAAATTAAGGGGAAAAGGTAATTGTGTAACTTTATTTGTTTATTCACAGCCAAAATTATTTTAGTGGAATTTTTTTCTATTTTTTGTCTCATGCTGTATTGAATTGAAATATTGGTCTTAAAGTGTCATTCCTCCATATATGTGTGTGTGTGTGTGTGTAGAGTCCACCACTAAAATGTTTCCTATTCTTCAATACTGATATGTAGGGACAAGTGGAGCCATTGTCGCTTTGGTTGTTTGTGTGTCTTGGCTGTACTTGATATACCAAAAGTGGAATCTGATCAAGCAAAAGGAAAAATTGTTTCAACAAAATGGTGGCTTCATCATGCAACAACGACTCTCTGTTAAAGAAGCTTCCTCCCAAACAGTTAAAATTTTCACCACAGAGGAATTAAAAAGGGCAACCGACAACTACCATTATAGCTCAATTCTTGGAGAAGGAGGATATGGAACTGTTTATAAGGGATCACTGACGGACAAAAAAATTGTCGCAATCAAGAAGTCGAAACTCTTGGATCAAAACCGAATTGAACAGTTCATCAACGAGATCATTGTCCTTTCACAAATAAATCATAAGAACGTGGTGAAACTACTTGGATGCTGTTTAGAAACTGAAATTCCTTTGTTAGTCTATGAGCTTGTCAACAACGGCACCCTTTATGGTCACATTCACGATGAAGAGAAGGCTTCCAAGATGTCTTGCGAAACACATTTGAAGATAGCAGCAGAGACAGCAGAAGCACTATCATATCTGCACTCTGGTGCCTGCATACCCATAATCCATAGAGATGTCAAGACCTCTAACATACTTTTAGATGAAGAATACACAGCCAAAGTGTCTGATTTTGGAGCTTCTAAGTTGGTTCCCCTTGATCAAAGAGAATTAGCCACAATGGTACAAGGAACTCTAGGATACTTGGATCCAGAATACATGCAAACGAGCCAACTCACGGAGAAAAGTGATGTATATAGTTTTGGAGTGGTGCTCGTGGAGCTACTGACAGGGAAGAAAGCTCTTTCATTTGATAAACCAGAAGAGGAAAGATGTCTTGCCAAGTATTTCCTTTCATCCTTGAAGAGAGGTCAATTGTTTGAACTACTTGAAGTTCGCATAATGAACGATGAAAATAATAAGGAGATGCTGAGGGAAGTGGCCTCCCTTGCTGAGAGATGCTTAAGGGTGTGTTTGGTATGAGGGATTTGGGAGGGAGGGGAAGGAAGGGGAGGGATTTTAATCATTTCCCCTTGTTTGGCAACACACAAATTTTAGGAGGGGAGGGAAAAATTTTTAAAATTTCCCCTCCCCTCCCCTTCTCAACCTCCCCTCCAAAATTGGGAGGATTTGGAGGGAAAGGGCAATATTTTGTCATATTATGACTATTATGCCCATATTTTGTCATGTTGTGACCATTATGTCTATATTTTGTCATGTTGTGACCATTATGCCCACACCTTAAATAAAATAAGAGCAAAATTGTCCATATTAAAATATTTTTCCCTCCCCTCCCCCTCTTTTTTTATAAATCCAAACAAGATAATATTAAAATCCTTCCACTCCCCTCCCCTCCCCTTCCCTCCATTAAAATCCCTCCCCTCTCCTTCCTCTCATTGAGCCAAGCATGAAAGAAGTTGCAATGGAGCTAGAGGGAATAAGGAAGACAAGGAAGCATTCATGGGTAAACAATGATAATAATTCAGAAGAAATTCAACCATTGCTTGGGGAGACATCTGGTGTTAATGAAAGTCGGGATAGTATCAATTATAGAAACACGGGTGCGTTTAGCATTGATCATGTGTTGAGTAACTTGAATGACGGAAGGTGATGTGTTGGATTATCAATATTTTACTTTTCATATTGCGCCAATAATGTTTGTATAATGTAATTCCCTTTCTAATATTCTGTGTATCTTATAGTTTATTTTTAAATGTACGTTCATGATGATTGTAATTATTATATTAATTGAAAAGGCAATAGTGGACCATATTAGCCTTGAAATAGTGTGTTATAGTTTTTTTTCCTGTAAATAATGTGGTATAAATTGATGACTATTTTCTTAAAACAATGTCAAGTTAACGTTTATAATGGTTGAAAACTATAGAAAATCTATAAACACCTGCATAATTCAAGCTAAGTTTGGAAGCACATATGTGTGTACGCGCGCATTGAACAAAATTGACTTTTAGTGGCGACTTTCAAAAAGTCGCCACTGAAAGTTTTTAGCGGCAACAAAAAGTAGCCACTAAATTGTTGTTGTAGCAACTGTTGCTGATACTTATCAGCGGTGACAAAAAAAACCACTGCTGAAAAGTCACTGCTAAAACTAAAAAATGTTGCCATTAAAAATTAAGTCACCGTCAAAAATATACTTTCAACAACGACAATAAGTCGTCACTAAAGGCTACCTTCAGCAGTGACTATTAATGTCACCGCATAACGTTACCTTCAGCGGTGACAATTTAGTCGCCGCTAAATGTAATTTTTTTTAAAATATATAAATTATAAATTAAATTGTTAAATTTACTTTCAGCGGCGACTAAATTGTTGCTACTAAAGGTAACATTTGGCGGCGACATTAATAGTCGCCGCTAAAAGTAAAAAAAATATTTTAAAAATATATAAATTAAATTGTTAAATTTAAAATATATATTATTTTAATAAATATCAAAAGAAAATAATGAATAACTAAATTAAAATCACTATACATGCTATATGAGAAAATTAACCATTAATGTTAGTAATATATCAAATACAATATTCACATAATTTCTTACAATCATAAAAATAATTTAATTTCATTAAAGAGAGTACACAAATTATACAATGGAAAGATAAATACATCAATAAAGATAATCCCAACAAATCTTAAATCTCCCAAATTGCTAAACTATCAAGAACCATTGTTGGGGTCACAAGCGGTTGGAGCTGAGGTCATAGCAAACTGAATGTCACTGTGGAGAAACAAATTGAGCCATAAATTAGCTAATGAATAAATAAAAATCACAAACATTATAATATATAAAATCCATACGAAATATACATGAAGCAATACTTAATGTTCCAATCGACAACAATAAACTAACTACTTTTTCCCTTGAAAGCAATCTTCGAGAAATAAAATAACAAGCATAAATATCAACCTTATTCATGATAAACTTCTTTCCAAAACTGCTGACCCAAGCAGTACTCAGAATAACAAGCATAAATCAACCTTATTCATGGCAAACTATTTTGCAAAATTAAAGTGCACATGTAAAGAGATAAGCGATACTCATGAGCATTGAGAGAAAGGAATAGATAGAAATAGAACAAAAACAAGAAACAAAATATCATAATTTTTATATGAATAGCAAAATTATAAAAAATATATATATATATATATAATTGCATCAACTTAACCTTCACCTATATAAGATTTTATTAAAATCCAATAGACCAAATTTTCACTAGTATCATAGTTCCAATGCCCTTCTTATAAGATTTATGTACAATCCATTTCACTTTCCTCTTTATAAAGGAAAAACTAGTTTAGCAAAGTCTGATAGTCCAAAGACAATAGATTTTTAACTTAGTGTTCTCATCCTTTAAAACATACAAAAAATTCTGAGAAGTACCATTTTTTATACCGTTAATAATAGGCTGAAGACCAGAGGCAGAATTTTTTTACAGGTTCTATTCAATGCCATGTTTTTTATCTTCTCTAATCATCCATTATGCTTTTAAGTCAAAACAGAATGAACATCATAATATAAAATAGAGGGCATGGGTTAAAGTTTATGTAAGCTGTTTGAGTTGTTAGATGATTATATTTGAATGTCATTCAAGAAAGCTAAGGTGCCAAATCAAAATAGTAACAGAATAAAGCAAATTAAACTACAATAAATTCACCCACCCATGAACCTCTATTCGGCTCTGATGGTCCAAATATATTTATTTATTTCTTGGTTTTGAAATTTTTGTATGGAAGCTTGAATAACAAAGAAAGGAAACAACTTTCCTAACAACCCCTGCAGGGACACAGATTACTACTTTACAGGATTCAGAATTTCAGATAAAAATCACATAGCAGTATATAAACATCCAAAAAACCAAGCAAAGCATCAAAATGTGATCGTATAGTAATCTGCAGCCGCCATACTTGTTAAACAGAGACTCATGTACACCAATAACTCTAATTCTAGCCATAAGGAAACCTCCACAAAAGAAGTTACTTAAAACATTTGACATCCAGAAAAGAAAATACTTACCAAATTCCATCTCGTAGAATGAATTGCAGAGAATCCAATCAACCAAATCAAGTGCTGATTCTATGCAGTGTCACAAGTGAAGACAATCAGTTAGTACCAATAGAAAAATTTTCAACACAGCCGAAAAAGAGATATGAAACTTGAAAATAAAAAATAACCCACAAATAGAATGAGATCTTAAAGGGAATCTGAACCAGAAGATGAAAACGAGAAATAGAATGCCAAGAAGCTACCCATTAACGAATCTGAACACCGAAGACGCACTACAAAAAAATATGTATTTTCTAGCGGTTAAATTATGACGTCTCTAGCAGTTTAAATCGCAACAAATAACATTTGTAGCGGTTTGTCTAACCACTAGAAAATCAAGTGTAAGAAACAGTTTTCTAGTGGTTAAGGAAACCGTTATGCAGTGTGGTCAAAATGCCAAAAACTTTCTAGCGGTTACACTAACTGTCAGAAAAAACAAGCAAGCGTAGGTGAATGAGATGACATTTCTAGTGTTAAAAACCGCTAGAAAATTAAAAAAAAATATTTCTAGCAATTGCAGAAACCACTAGAAAGTTTTAGACGAAATTGCATTTTGCCGGGAAAGGAAATTTTCATATTGGCGCCAAAACCGCTAGAAAGTTTTGTACTAAAATCCGTCTTTGCCAGGAAACAAAATTTTCAAATTGGCACCAAAAATTTCTAGCAGCTATTAACTGCTAGAAAACTGGCGCTAGGTGCAACCAAATTTGAATTTTGCAAAATTTTCCCTCTTTTTTAAAATTTTCTAGCGGTTCCTAAACCGCTACAAAGTTCATTCCTGGTGAAAAAAAAAATTCAAATGTTTTATTGTTAAAAAATATAATATTATAAATTAAAAAACCATTAAATAGATTATATTAGAGAATTTTTGTTAATATGTATATTTACTAATGTATTAGATGTTATATATTTGAATTTTTTGATAAATAATATAGGTAATTAAATTATGATTATGTCAAATGAATTGAATTAAATTGAATTTTTAATTTAATAAGATAGTTGAATTGGAGATGGGATAGTTTAAAATATTGAACCTTAACTCTTATGTTGAATCGGTTGAGGAGGCATGACAAATGTGAAAAAGAAAAATCTGAAAGAAAAAGATAGATAAATATGTTAGTAAATTATAAATAAAGATAAATGAAAGAAATTAATATTTATAAAATGAATACCATCTTACCGTATAAAGAAGAGGAAAAAATCACCACATGTGAGAGTAAGAAGAAAATAGAGAATTATAAAGAAGAAGAGGAGAGGAAGGAAAAGAGATGGGGTAAATGAATGAGGAGGTGATATGGTATTTATAAAGATTAGCAAGACGTTTCTAGCGGTTGTTTACTATTTGCAACGGTTTTATTCATTTTGTAGCGGTTTTTCAGTTTCTAGCAGTTTTAGAATTGCTAGAAATTGCATTTTTTTTTAATTTTTAAAAAACTGAGCCAATATATTGTTATTTATTTGCAGTTTCGAGCGGTTTTATAACCACTAGAAATTACAAATTTTTAATTTTTAAAAAACTAAACTAATTTTAATTTATACATATTTATTTATGAAAAACAAATTATTTGAATGATAAAAATTTTTGAATGATAAAAACAATTTTATTTATTTACAGTTTCTAGCAGTTTTCTAATTGCTAGAAATTGCAAATTTTTAATTTTTAAAAAAATGAGCTAATTTTAATTTGTATAAATTATTTATGAAAAAGAAATTATCTGAATGATAAAAAATTTTGAAACTGCTATTCTTGATCATCATCCTTCTTGAAAGGAGATATTAAAAAAATTATTGTTAGAATTATAATATATTTAGAAAAAATTAGTAATTAGTAGTTAATTATTTAAATAATTTAATAAAAGTCATATACCTGATAAAGGCCAAATTATTGTCTCCTTGAGGAAAGAAGTTTTCAAAATTTGTGGGTTGGAAGGATTCGCTGTCGTAAGTAATGTCGCCATTACCCATATCATAAAGATCCCGTGGCTTGAGGTGAACGACCATATTCCAGTCTTTATGTTTCTGGTCCTTGACATAGTAAACCTGATGTGCCTCGAAGGCAAAAATATATGGCTCATCATCTTCAGATTCCCTCGTATGAATAAGTCTAGAGAAATTAACAGAAATGATGCCCAAGTGGTCAGTAGCGAGTCCCCGTGAAGTTGTCGTATTTGCCAAGGAGCACTTGAACAGAGTTATGGTGAAAAGCTGGTAACTTAACTCAATGATGTCAATTAGCTTTCCATAGTAAGGAACGCCTCCAAAGCGTATATCGCCGTCACTGCTGCTAGCATAATATCTCGTCCTGAATGTCCCGCAAACTCCAGAGTTTTGTGTGAGCAATCCCTGATCACGTCCAATTGTACAGAACTTGAAGATATTGACATTATATGCAGTAAACCTTTGTGCATGGTCTAACAGACCAAGGGAAAAAGCTTTGAATTCATCTGTGTATGGGCTGTTGTCATTACGTATTTGACGTGTAAACCAACCAGAAAACTTTTTGTGGACTCTTTTATCAATGTTAGCGGAACGTGCATGCCCCCGTAGCTTCTACCTAAGGTAACTTCTAAACTCACTAAAGTGAAGTGTAATTTGTTACAAGAGTCAGTGAGAAACAAATATAAAGTGTAAAAGTTAGTGAGCTTATATAATACTTACTGCATGAAGGGTTCAACTTGGCTGCAATTTATCAAAACACGTCTATGTGTCTGGAGTTTCTATGTGGGAGTGAGTCTTAAGAATTCATATCCTCCAACTAGTTTCCCTACAGGAGGAAATAAAGTTGACGTGGAAGGACCAGGAGGAGAATCATCTACGTGACGCGAGCGGTTAAAAGATGTCTCCATGTCATCAAAGTACCTTAAACAGAAAGTTAGGACCTCAACTTTGGAATAACCTTCTGCTATTGACACCTCAGGCCACGCCTTATTCCTAACATATGATTTTAATTTTTCCAAGTACATGTAAGTTAATATTCCATTAATAATTGTGAGCAAATGAAATAACAATGTGAAATTTAAAGAGGTGGGGATAAAAGATAATCTAGTACCTCTCTATAGGGTAGATCTATCGATAGTGAACTGGGCCAGCAACCTTTGCTTCTCGAACAAGATGGACAGTCAAGTGAACCATAACAGTAAAGAATGATGGAGGAAATATCATCTCCAAGTGATAAAGTGTAAGAATTATTTTATTTTGTAGCTGATCAAGCTCTTCTGTTATCAAGACCTTCGCACACAACTTCTTGAAAAATGAACACGATTCCACCAAAACCACTGATACATCATGTTCGTCGAGCGCTAGATCCTCCTGTTGGTTTTGCTGGGGGTGGGCAGGCTATTGATCGTGCTGGGGTAGACTGGCTGCTGGTCATGCAAGGGCTGGACTGGTGGCAGGCATATGTCAGGGATCTTGGGAATCAGGATGTTTGGAGCGAAACTGATCACCACATCACGCATAGCCATAACAGCTGCCTTCAACTGGTCAAGCTGTAACTAGAACTGACAATCACGCTCCTCCATCCTTGCCTCTATTATGGCTGCCACCTCTTGCCTGATCACCTCTCGTAGCTCGTCTGAGGGTGAGGAACCCAGCCACTTCACTCCTGTGCTCGCTTGATGGGACGATGCTACTGACTGAGAGCTCCTTGTAGTGTATGAAGGGCTAGTGCAACCTAAGCGGGGCAACCTAGTCAGTGTGGGTCCAAGACCGAGCCCGCTAACTCAACCAAGGTGCTACGCTCGGCCATGACCCGCTAAAAGTGAGGCGGTGGGATCCAAGGTAGACCCTTGACACTCCTGCAGCTCAGTATCGACCTGAGTCATCCGCGCCTATCAAAATTAATATAAAAATATTAATTAGTATGAAATAATATTTATACTACAATATGATATTAATATTTAATTGATTACTTACCGCTATCTCCTCAACCTCATCTGAAGCAGGAGACCCGTCTCAAGGCTTGTACAGAGTTGGCCACATCTCACCATAGGTAGGCGTGTATCCCTGCTCCTGCCGTGTCTTTTTCCTCTGTAAATGAAACGAAAGAAATTATTAATTACAAATTAAATACATATACACATTTAACAAATTCTTTTCAAGTACTTACAATCGCGTCATAGGTGATAGCAAAGCTCCTGGATCCAGCCCTATAACGCATTGTCTGCTGCCTGACGCTTCTAGTATTTCTCTGGGAAAAAGCCTGAAACAAAATGTAAAAAAAATTAAATTAGTCAAATTGGACAAAAAATGAAAAAAAATTATAATTAATGCAATACTATCATACTATCTGGTCAGCCGACATCTTAAAATAAACATAACTCAACCAATCTTGCTCTGGGACTCCACCAAGTATATCTGTCAGTATCTCCTGCAAGGGCCTCGTCCCGTCACCTTTCTTCTCTCGCCACAGGTCAACCTTCCTGTTCTTCTATGCCACCCCAAATCTCTTAATCGTATCCGCCCTCAACTCCTCCCCCAGAATAAATTTACTCTGTTATTAAGAAAATAAAGAATTATATTCATTTCGCTGATATAAATAAAAAATAAATTAAATAAATAACAAATTATAATCAAACAATTAAGCAATTTAAATAAAAAATATATATTCATTTAACTAATTTAAAAATATTATAAATAAAAAATAAATTACATCAATAACAAATCATAATCAAACAATTAAGTAATTTGAATAAAAATATATATTCATTCAACTAATTTAAAAATATTATAAGTAATAAATTAATTAAATAAATAAAAATTTATAATCAAACAATCAAGTGTTTTAAATAAAAAATATATATTCATTCAACTAATTTAAAAATATTATAAGTAATAAATTAATTAAATAAATAAAAATTTATAATAAAAAATTAAGTGTTTTAAATAAAAATGTATATTCATTTAACAAATTTAAAAATATTATAAATAAAAATAAATTACATCAATAACAAATCATCATAATCAAACAATTAAGTAATTTAAATAAAAATATATATTCATTCAACTAATTTAAAAATATTATAAGTAATAAATTATTTGAATAAATAAAAATTTATAATCAAACAATTAAGTACTTTAAATAAAAATATGTATATTCATTTAACTAATTTCAAAATATTATAAATAAAAATAAATTACATCAATAACAAATCATCATAATCAAACAATTAAGTAATTTAAATAAAAAATATATATTCCTTTAACTAATTTAAAAATATTATAAATAACAAATTAATTAAATTAAAAAAATTATAAATAATAATTTTATATTACCTTTATCATTTCCCAACCTTGCTGCTTCTTCTCTGCAATGATTTTCTTCCAATCCTTCACATAAATGGGGAACATGGTCGACTGCTGATTAAGAAGGCACACATACTTATTATACAGCTGGCCACCTTCCTTGGTCGGTTGGCCCAATTCATTCAGTGGCACAACCACCCGTTCGCTCGTCGTCATGGATAGCTTTTGGTTGTCAGCCTCCTATAGAACCTGTTTCCCTCAAAGTCTGCAAAATTTAATTAAGAAATTAATTATATATTAATTAATTAAAACAATTTTTATATAAATTAAATACTTGTCAAATTTAAAATAAATAAATAAATACTTACCCTCAAATTCTACCTCAAAACTAGTCTGGCGTCTGGGAGCAAGATGTGCTCATTATGGGGATTCTCATTTCCTTGAACCTGCTTCCTCCTCCTCCTCCTCCTCCTCACTAGCATCATCATGGGGTTGTTCATCCCCTGAGAAATGAGCCTCCTCAATCCGCTGGATATCATCATGCTCCATGAAGTTCAGGATATCCTCCTCATTCAGATCGTAGTCATGAATGCTCGGGAATGGCTCACCAGCATCATGAGCCCCACCACCATGATCCTCATTGGGTCCTCCTCTCTTAGGATCAACCGGCTCCTTCCCTGATCGACGACTCATCCTAATAATAGCAAATAGCAATTATAATGAAAAATATATTTTACAACTAACAATTATTAAAAATAAACAATTATATCAAATAATAATTATTTCTATTAACTCTAAATAATAATAATTGAAAAACAGATATTCCTATATTTAAATTTGTCGTTAACTCGTTAAAAAAATAACTATTTCTATTAACTCTATATAAACTAGTCTACTATAAAAAAAAATTTCTATTAACTCTAACTAAATTAAACCAGTCTATTAAACTCAATATTAAAAATATAATAAAATAAATAAAAACAAAAATTATTTATAAATAAACTTCTATCCTTATCTAAAAATATGGATCTGGATCTGGATCTGGATATACTTTGTGGAGAGAATTTGGCAGAGCTTCGCTTCAAAATTCGCCAAAACAGTGAAAATGACGCAGTGGGGTGTATATATAGGCCGCAATTTTCTAGCGGTTTTCAGGGAACCACTAGAAACTTCTAGCGGTTTTAATCAAACCGTTAGACATTCTAGCGGTTTATATCCACCACCACCTGCATGCAGCCACGTGTCACAACTACGCCGGAAAAATAAAAAATTTCTAGCGGTTTCAAAAAAAGACCGCTAGAAATTTAGTTGAAATTACTAATGGTTATGAAACAGCTAGAAAATGCAACGACAATTTGTATTTTCTAATGGTTCCAGCAACAAAACCACTAGAAATTAAATGCTGGAAATATGGCGTCAACTTCGCTCCAAAACGCACGAATAGTTGTGGCGGTAACTTTCTAGCGGTTTAGTCATAAACGCTAGAAATGTGTGGGGCCTACTTTCTTTCTGGTCAAAGTGCTTCAGATTTCTTGCGGTTTCTATGAAAACTGCTAGAAATTTTTGAATTTGTAGTGGTTTTATTTAACCGCTAGAAATGTACCGCTAGTAAATGGCCTTTTTTTTTGTAGTGACGGAAATGAAGGATGCCAAGAGAACGCAATAGAATTTGAACGCCGGAGAGGAGATCGAAGAATGTGAACGAAGATGAGAACGTGAATGGAAGGCCAACATTCCCAGTCTCAAAACCTTCACGTTCAGGTGCGATTTGGTTTGAGCTAGGAGGAGGAATGGAGGCGCTTTCCCTGGAGGGGTAGACGATGTGAGGTGAAGAGGTTTTTATAAGTGAAATAAACCCTAAGATGTTGAAGTAATTTTTTAAAAGAAGGAAATTGGAGAAAAGGCCCTAAATAGAGGGAATCTGTGAAATTTGTGGAGGTAAAATACTATTTACCTTTGTAAATGGAGGGAATATGCAAATTTTGTGGAGGGATATAATTTTTCACACACATCTAAAAATAAAATTAAATGTTTACTTTAATAGAAAAATTAGAACTTTAATTAATTTAATTTATCAGCATATGTGTCAAAAATAAGTAATAAACAAAACTGTTATTGTAAAAAATCATACTTAGCATTAAAATGATAAATTATATAATCAAATTTCAAATCAACTTAATTACGGCCATATAATATATAAAATAAAATTCAGCAAAAATATATATATAATAAAATAAATATCTAAATTTTAAATTATTGGTAAAAAATAATAAATACATAATCTATGGTTAAATGAGATATATTTGAGATATAGTAGTATTTTATTACCTCTGGTCGTTAATATAAGAGCTAGTTGACTAATTTGAGTAGATTAAGAAAATTAGTTAAGTTAGTTATTTGTAATAAATATGTATTGTCTTTCCTAAAATATCCTTGCTAATCAAGTGTATTAGCTAGAACTACTATTATTACAAGAACTATCATAAAAAAAAAAAAGAATAAATACGAGAGACAAAGTGGATTGGGGTCTTATATTTAGGACTAAAATAAAAGTCAAATGAACTCTTATATTAAAGATTGGATGTAGTATTTCACTAAGATTAGAAAAGGTGAAATTTTTTATTATGTATTTGATAATTTTTTATTAAGTAGCTGCATTGATTTTAGTTACTTAGAGTTAATCACCATCAATCAACAAGTCATAATATTTGAAGGAGCAAAATGAATAGTTTATTCGAATTCATTTATATATTTATACTATATTGATTCATATATTTAAGCTATAACATTTTTTATTACCTTTCCAAATTATTTTAAATGGGGATCACATGATCATGATCTTTTAATAACGATAAGAAATCAAGTTTAAATTTGTTCATTTGAAATTTGTACTCATCTAATTATATTATCTCCTTTAATTATATTATTTTCCACTCATCTTTCTCATGCAAATCTTCATCATCAAATATTATCACTCATTTAAGTACACTCAAACTAATTTAACTATAATCATCTCTCCCTCATAAACTTAACTATGCTATCCCTTTCAATTATAATGTATTTCTCTCTCACACACTATCTCACTTTCAATTATATTTTAATTACATATTACATCTCTCTCTCTCTCACTACCTTCCCATCTTTCCTTATATCTCAAACGTACATATCTCTCTCATGTATGCTTGCACCCTATTCCTCACACACATTCTTAATTCTATCTTACAAATATAATTATAACATCTCTATCTCATACACACCCCACCCATTCTACCTCCTCCTTTCTCCCTCACTCACTACATTATCTCTCTCTAACTCTCCTCCTAACACAATAATACATAAAAAAGCTTCAGTTATTTAGAGTTAATTATATCAATAAAAACAATTACAATATAAATATAATAAATTTTAATAAAAATGAAAAATAATAAAATAAATTTGAAAAACACTTTCAACGGCGACTAAAATGTCGTTGCTGAAAGTATGTTTCAGCAGTGAAATTTTGTCGTTGCAGAAAGTACTTTCAGGGGCGACTCTCTTATGTCGCTGCTAAAAGTTCTTTTAGCAACGACAAAAAATATTGCCTCTGAAAGTCATACTTTGAGTAGTGACATTTTTTGTCTTCGCCAAAGGTTGTACCTTTTAGCGGCGACCACATGCAGTCGCCGCAGAAAGTCCTACATTCAGCTGTGACTTTTATGTCGCCGCTAAAAAGTCCCACTTTACTTTTAGTGGCAACTTTTTTTGTCGCCGCTATTTGACACTTAAAAGTGATATTTTTGTAGTGAGTATAACATTATTTTACCTTGTTTCATTTATTTCTAGATTAAAGCTCTCATGTACCTCTATTTGACACTTCGTTGGCACAACCACTCTTAGCAAGAGATTTCACTTGAAATATATATTACTTCCTTCAGTGCTAAATGTAAGCCATTTTGTAGTGTAAATTACACTACAAAATGGTTTTTAAATTTAGAACAGGAAGAGTATATTCTTTGTGAGACTACTCAAGTAGGAGGTATCCTTAAGTGGGCGATTGGGTTTAACCATGTTAGAGAGTGGAAATTAAATAGGTTTTCACACTTCGTTTTGAGTTTGTCTAACATTGAGGCTAGTGAAAGCTAGTTTTTTATTCTTTCTGAAGACATAGTGGAAAATCAATCATGGGGACTAGACATATACGTGAGGTGATTAGATTAAATGATGGCGAATCTGTTGTGCTTCCATTTCTTAATTTCTTCTATTTGTTGCTCTTGTGTTTATCTTTGTGTATATAATTTGTTTATGGGTTATTTTGACCTTTACATTGTTCTTTCTTTAGGCTATGTTTGGAGGGAGGGAAAAGTGAGGAAAATAAGGGGAAGGGAACACCAAAACTGAAAACTTTCGAAAGAAATGGTAAAAAAAATTTACTACTTTAGAGAGTTTTCTCCTGATATTATTTCCTCCCTGATTTACTTCCCATCTAAATAAAAGGTTAGTGTCATAAGAAATTTTCAAAACACCCAATTAAAGCCCCTTTTGGATGTTCATTTATTCTTTTGATATGCTAGTTAGTTTAGCAAAAAAAAAAAAAAAAAAAGAGCCAAAAAAATCCCATCTTTATTTGTGAGACTAAAGTGATATTCTCAGCTAAGATGAGCTGAGTAGGTTAACTTTCTTCAAGTTGCGGAAAAGAGATGAGAATTCAAACATTAAGGTTGAGCAGAATGAAGAGTGTTGTGTGACAACAAATCTACTATTGTCTTTGTGAAGAACTCTTTTTTTTTTTTTGGGTGGAAAAACCAAGCATATGAAGATTTTAATTTGAAGTTGAAAGGCCAAGGCATGGATGAAACCTTTGGGGACTTGTGGTGCTGAGAATAATACAGTTTCGCTATAAAAGAAAACTCAGAAAATTATTTGAGAAATTAAACTTGTAGGGTAGCTTGGAATGTGTAACAATGCAACCAGTTTAGCTGCTCATTAAGGTGATAAGCACTCTAAACTTATTATATCTGAATCGTCTAGATTTGATCTGAACATTTTAGAATTAAAATTTTTAATTATTTATTTTTAAAATAGAAAAAAATTAGTTTTTTTGAAGAAAAAATGATAGTTAAGAAATTATTTTTATATTAATTATATACCCATTAAAATAATTATTTTAGAAAACTAAAAATAAAATAATCAAATCTGGACCATCAAAATCAAATTTGAATGGTTCAGATCTAATGACTTTAGGGTACTCATAAAAGTGGTGAGTACCTAAACTGGTTATGTGTAGCAGCATCGTAAATTTCCTCTACTTTCCAAATGTTCTTTTTTCTTGCTTCTTTTTATCATTACATTTTAAATAGAAGAGTGACATTTTAATATCTCATGGGCAAAAAGTCGTGTAGTTTTTTTATGAATTTTCAAAAACAAAATACTCTAAAGATGGTGTAGTTTCTTTTTAATTTAGATGCAAATTCTTTGAAACATACAGAACAAAAAGGAAGGGGAATCATAACCGAGAGCATATTCGTTACACATTGCATTACCAAACTAACAATACATGGCACTCTGGATTCGAAGTACAGTTTTGCATAACCTATTCCTCTCACAACGAACTTGAAATCACTGAATTATTCTTCCAAAAAAGGATGAAAGAGACATCAAGGACTAACTCAATATCCAATAGAAGAATTACAATTAATTAATGTATCAAATTAAAATTGTAGACTTGATCGATCCCTGGAGATATGTCATTGAAGAGTACGTGAAGTTCTATCGTGGTTTTATACTGAACTGTGGTTCATGCATCAAGCTGGTCCCATAAACTAACCCACAAGCTATCATCTCCTGCAGTTTCTTGCCATATGGATGATGGAAAGTACGTCTCTTGGCACATTGAAGGTGTGTAAAACTGATCTTCGAAATTTGGGTTCTGAATTAAGTCCATGATCTCCTGCATTTTGTTTTCGGGTGTCTCGGTTGTATTGCCTGGTTCATTTTTTGCCTCCGCATGAGACGATATGCTTTTTGTATCATATTCTTCAGGTTGTTTATCTTGAACTGTTTGATGGTTACTTAGCATCTTTGCTCTTCGATTTTCGACGATCTTATTGTGAGAGGACTTGTAATCTTTCTTCTTGAAGTGGGTTCTCCAATAGTTCTTGATCTCATTGTCTGTTCTACCAGGCAAGTAGCTAGCTATTGTAGACCACCTGCAATTTTCAAGGTTCTTATTATGACATAAGTTGTATGTAATCACTGTCATCATACACAATCAAATACATGTTATATATCATCCAATCTCTCTCTCTTGGTAGGTATAAAAGCTAAGGCAATATTTAGTATGCTTAAAAGTGTTTTTCATAAAGAAAATGGAAAAGTACGTTGGCTGACAATATATGACAATCAAAAGCAATGTAATTATCCTTTTTTTTTTTAAGAAAATAGATTTTTGCATACCAAAACATTGCTCGGGATAATTTATTTTTTGGTTTTGGAAGTAGTCTAGTCTCAAATGCACGATTCATAGATATCAACTCACCAACGTCATTTAATGTTTTTTTTTTTTTGCCGGAAAAGTCATCTAATAAATTACCCAATACATATAATATACAAGAGATAATCTCACTTGCAAAGAACTAAGTTACATAGTTCGCAGTTCGTGACTGAGTACGTAGAGCAGTTACACACACACACACTCTATAGATCACACACAGATAATTAGATATATTGTATTACTTGTTACCCAGCACAGCATGCAGCTCCATAATGATGCCTTCTTCTTGAGGTGTAAGTGGGCCTTTCTTGAGTCCAGGTTTCAAATAGTTCACCCATCGCAACCTGCTACTTTTGCCACTCCTATTCAGCCCTGAAACATATGTATACACACACACACACAAAGATATTAGTAAATATTGGACTAGTCTATATTTGCATTTCATGCTCCTTTTAAATTATAAAAAGAAGACTCAATTAATAAGAAAATGGAGAATATATTAGAACTTAAGTGGCCGTTCTTTCTCCATCTTCACCTTTCTAGCTGGCACTCTCCAATCATCTTCTGTTTAGAACCAAAATATATAATTAATTAATCACCTGAAAATCTTGATACGGAACTCCAGTTTCCCTCGCCATGCAAGTTGACATATTCAGTAAGCAATTTATCTTCTTCATGAGTCCAAGGGCCTTTCCTCCACTCGTTCTTTGAGCCTCTCAATCTCATGATGGGCACCACGCTTTCAATTTCACTCCAATCTCTGTTCTTCTCTCTAATGGATTCTATGAATGACTTGGTTTATTCTCTTGCCCATATATGTATGTATATATAGACACCTACCTGTCTTTAGTGGGACAGCCCAATAATTGTCTTGTAGGCATTATTCAGAACCCAAGAACTTTGAATTCAAATCTCCATTGTATTCTTCAATGTGAGGTCAGCACAGCGATCATCTAAACTTTTCTTCATGGCTAAAGTCCTCTTAATCAAAATGGAGCGAGTGGGTATAAGGACTTTCACAGATTAAATTCGTAATTACAAATTAATCAAACGTGAAATGTATATAAGAAAACAATAGTTGATTTTGGGATGAAAAAAATTTAGTAATCAAGTAGTTATCAATAATTATATAAATGCAATTTTTTACAAGAATGATTTTCCCCACATTTGAAATGATTTTTGCATGCTTATGTAATATATACATCACAATTATTTTAATCCCCAAAATTTTATAAACCCAGCCAATATAATAGCCTTTCAGTGAGGACAACGTAATCTTTGTCGATCTAATCAAAAACTAACGTGGGGCATTTCTGTTTGTGCCAGGTGGTGGATTCGCTTAACCCTTCCATGTTTTAGATGTTGATTATAAAGCAATTACAATAAAGTATACTAGTCTCTAAGCATGCCTGGCACTTTTGTTTCTGTACCAACCTTGGAATCTATGAATAGTGATTTAAAGATTATCTGAATTCAACAAACCACTAAAATCTCAGCTTAAGATTCGTATTTGAGGTATATGGGGAACACAATTTGTGAAGGGTGAATCGTTTAGCCAGCACATGGCTTTTTTACTGTATAGAGTAACGTAAACTAATATAGAAGGATTACTCGTGGAAGAGCGTCATAAAGTCAACACGTGGCTCTTTATGTTTACTGTATACAGTAGCATAGTTGGACATTGCTTAATTGAACAACTCAAATGAAACATTTGTTTAATGTGAAGGTGGATCAGTCAAAAGTTGTAGAGGCTTCAAGGATCTTCTAAAGTAGCTTACGCTATAATGCTTAAAGAAAATGATGGCCACTAAATATCATGAGGTATCTTTCAAGGGGCGTAGATATTTCCCCTATTAAAAAAGTATATGTTAGTTCTAAATGTAGGAACTAAATAACTTATATAGAAATATTAATAAAATAAGTATTCGTTATTTGTTAAAAAAAATTGTTTTCCTAAAATATCCGTTTCTATCATCTGCACTACTTATTTGATAAAAAAATTCTTTTAATATATACAATTAATAGGAAGAGTTCATAAAAAAAAAAAAAGCATGAGTTTAGAAGATAAAATGAATTGAAGTTCTATGTTTAGAATCAAAGCAAACTCATTTAAAAAAGCAAATACGATTTTTTCAGACAAACAAAGTATCTGTATTTCGAATGTTTAAATACTTGAAACGAGTTGTTCGAGTATGAGATTTCTTGTTGATCCTTTTCGTTTAATAAGTAATTATCAATAGTTACTTCTCTCAAAATTTGAAAATTTTGTTTTTAATTTTCATTTAAAAATAGATGTGTTAGTTTTTTCTTCTTCTTCTTTTTTTTTTTGCGTACCAACAAAAAGATTGTGTTAGTCAAAATAAATGTTTTATGGAGCCATAAATTAATGCTTTGGGTGATATGAAATGATGAACTCATACTTTCATTGAATACGGGAGTGTTTAAATAGAACCCAAACTATGATTTTAAAAATAATTTTACAGTATACGAAAAAGTATGTTTTGTCTCGATTTGTATAAAAACATTCCTTAAAAGTGCTTGAGTTGAACCAAACACCCCTAAGAGTAGTTTTTCATACCTGATTCGCTTAGTTCTTAATCAAAAAAACTCTTGAAGTAAGAATATCCGAATATTCTAACCTTTCTGTGTTAATGTATTGATGTTATGGAACATTCTAACTATTGGCTTAGCTTCTAATTAATGGAAGCATTTAGTTATATAAATATATATATATATTCATTTGATTCTTAATATAAGACCTATTTAACTAATTTGATTAGATTAAGAAAGTTAAGTAAGTTGGTTAATTATAAGATATATGACATGTTTTTCCTAAAACACCGTAATTTTCTTCCTTAATATCCTCCCTCCCTCTCTTACTTGATTATAGTTGAGAGAGTATCAATAGGGATAATTTAAAAAGAATTGATAAATATGATAAATAAATATTATATTTAGGACTAAAATTAACTCAATAATTAAGTTCTATATTAAGAATTGGAGGAGTAACTAATACCTATTGGGATAAATTTTTACATGCTCTATGCCAGATAAAGGGTAATTGAAATTAGTAAAATATCTCATAACACCCTATAATATAATAATATAGTACCTCCTGTAATGTAAATAACAAAATATCAAGATCATTTACATTCATTGAAATTGAAGAACAGGATCACTAACGAAGAAGTGAAGAGACAAACAGATACAAAATATTGGCCTATATTCTTATGAGATCCATATGTTAAAAACAATGCAAACCGTCATGTTTTAATCACACCCTTCACTGCTAAAGTCATTTTAATTAGAAGATCCATACATGTTTAGAAATTTTTTTTCAACAAACACATTGACTATGTACGTAAGGAAATGAAGCTTGAACAATTGAAACTTGAAGGATATTTTTATCTTTAATGTTTCAGGAATAATTTAACGTTTTAAACATCAATTTTTGAAATTGTATCGATTAATATAAAAACAATTATACCGTCCATAAGGTGTTATAATATAAGGATTGAGGAAGATAACAACAAGAAGAAAACCTAATTCACTAACTCACCTTTTGATGCTGATGGCCATTTTCATATGAATCTTGAGTCTAGTACTTAATTATAGGATTGATAATTACATTTGAATTCTTAGTAACTTTATTCTAAGCCATTTGTGCACATTAGCTAGTCATGCACTAATATGGCTTAGCTAGCCACTAAGTCACCTTTTGATTGGTAGTCTTCTTCACTTGAGTATTGAGTCTAGCTGTGTTATATAGGCTTAGTAATTGCGTTTGAATTTCTAGTAACTATAGTCATTAACACACTTGAGAAGTAACCCATTCATTATAAACTCTTAAAAGAACACAAGGTGTCATGGCTCTTTTAGATTGTACTCCCATGGTCTTTAATGTAAAACTTAATTAACTAATTTGAGTATATTAAAGATGTTAGTTAAATTTGTTAATATTTATCTTTCTTAATTCCTTCCTTCCTTCTTCTACTTGATTATTGTTAAGAAAATATTAATAGGTTAATTTAAAAAGAAATTGATAAACATGTAAAATAGGTTTTACATAAAGCATTAATATTAACTTCCCAATTAGATCCTATATTAAAGACTAAAGGAGTATATGTATATATACACACTCAAAGGATCGACACCTGTATTTTGAGTCATCAAAGGATTTCTAAAACTAATATACTTGCTTCTAGTAATTTAATCTAATCCAATATTGCGGCACTAATTGCAATTATATGACGACAAAAAGAACTATATAACTGTTAACTTCACCTATAACACTTGTTATGTCTATGAGCTTCAAACTTATAGTTTTCATAAACTAGATAATAAAAAGCACTGCGACTAACTTTGCTCTACAGTGCTCAAAAAGCATATTCTGATTTTCTTTTTTTTGTAATATTAAAAAATTTAGGCGAATTAGATCTTGCTAACTTACCCAAATTAGAGCATGCTTCATGACTCAAATTATGACATATATGGAAATATTTATTACAATTTATTCAAAGGTTTCAAATGATTAAAGGAAGCAAAACATTTTCATTTTTAATAATTATCCCTTAATTTTGAACTCTATCTAACTTGATAACTTGTATGTCTGAACTCTCTAGCTCTTGTCCTTTTATTAGGTCTGATTTGTTACTCTTTCATTTTTAGTATATGATCATTTCGATCTTTTTTCAGAAAATAAAATGTCTTTGCCATCTTTCTTTCTTCTTTTTTTTTTCCTTTATTACAAAAGAGGGCTAAACGCCAAAAATAAAGAAAAGCTTAAACAAGAGGGGGGATGAATCCAATGCTATTTTTCTGCACTAAAGTCCTGAGATGATGATTACGGTACTCAGTTTAGCTCACTAGATCTTGACAGTCTAAATTTAAAATTTTAATTAATTTTTTAAATAAAAATTATTTTTTGAAATTAAAGAATTATAATTGAAAAATTATCCTCATTTTAGATTCTATATTTATTAAAATAAAATCTGATGAGTTTAGAGTGTTTATTATTATGATAAATACCCAAACTGATCCCATGTGTAGGACAAACATAAGAAAACTTTAGCCGAAGCATCGACCACCATGTTGTAGATTCTAGATATATGTCTAACTTCCAAATGCCAATTGTAAGCCATCGTTTAGTAATCTGAAGGAGCACCAACCTGCAATATTATATTGTGCGCTTCTTCATGAATCAGATCAATTAAACTTTTTGAATCAGGCTCATCATTTGACAACTTCCTAACTACTAACTACCCATAAAATTTGTTAGTGTCCATCATTTGGGCCCTTCTTCATCAGTGGGCTGTCAATCTTCTCATGGACTCAATTAGGTCGACTTGATGAAGTGCGCTCTTTGCCGGCTATGAGGTGTGATAAAGCGCTCAAAATTTTGGGCTTTTCTTGGCACATGGACTTTGCTAGCATAGCCATATGGGCTTCATGACATAGGAAGTTGATCATGGTTTAGGGATGCAAAAGATAAGCAGAATAACTAAACAGGATACAGTCTAACACAATATATTAATCATTCATAACGTGATAAGCCAATATTTAAATTCTTATTATATGAGATGTCTACATTTAGCACCTGATAGTATTTTAAATAGAATTGTCTCCAATAGAAAGATATCTATCCATACATAGCCAAAAAAAATCAGTAGAATAGATTAAAAATTCAAAACCAATTGCTAGTTTTCTCTTTCTTTCTATAAGACTTG